CAGATTGTTTACAGTGCAGCACCATACATTGTCTTAATAGCATTTGTGATTGTCTTAATAGCACTTCCTGTTCTCCAGCTTACTTTATTGGAAGATTACAGTATGCGATGCATCTAACATACAAAATATGTGTTAGCTGACTGTTGATATTACTGGTAAGGCTTCCTTCTGGTCAACAGTAGGCTATTCGCAGTTAATTTTGCGGGGAGTGAAAAGTTACATACTGAACTCCCACATTGTTCAGGGTCAGCTATACTACTTCCTCCGTCCTTGCAGTTAGTTTGTAAGCTGTTTTACTCTTTACTGTGCCCACTGGGCCTGCCTCAGTGCCTGGAACATGGGAGGAGCGAAACAGTGAGTTAAGTGATGGGACGAATGGCAGAGCTGGGACCTGAAGCCAGGTCTCCCAATTGCAGTTCCTGTGTCCTTCTACAGCCTTTGCTCTCATAGAGCTGCTCTTGGGTGGGACTGCCAGATGAGAACATGTTAAGGTGCTCTTCTCTTTGGTTATGGTGCAACCCAGGAGCTAGGCATTCATTTAGTTGTATGTTCAGTCAGTACACATTTATTGAGCACCTAGTGTGTTCTGGCTAGTTGCTGGGCAGTTCTATGACCTGTGATGCTAGATCTGTTAGAGTATTTACCGGGTTATAGAGAATTTCCATCAAGTCCTCCTTTTAAGGGAGATTAACGATGAACAGAACTCCTAACCCACATCTCCTTAGATGACAACCGAATCGTGACTGCTTTGTCATTAAAGCAGTAATTTGGGGTTCTATATATTGAACAGGTGTAATGTTATATATGTGAAAAACTCAACCTCTTTGAAACAGACAAATTTTCTGTATGTTCTTTGTTCCTGGTTCAGAGGAACCGAGTGCTTCTATTTTGGCATTAGGAACCATATGCTGCAGAAACGGGGGGCGGGGGGAATGCATCTCATTTTAGTTTTGCTCATCCCCAGGAGTCCCTGATTTCAGTCTTTGGTTGGTTTCCTAGCAGCCTAAGTTCCTCAGCAGCGAAGCCTGGCGGGCCGCATTAATACTGCTTGGATTTGCATGCATAGAGTCGTCTTTGCACTGAAAATAAGACCCTCGGGTGTCCCCAGGTCAAGAGAGTGCTTTTTCTCTCTCTAGGCTCTTGAATGTAAAATTCGTGGTCATCTTTCCTTATTCTGAAGCAGGAAGGAATGCTTGAAGAAGGGTCTCCTATTAGCTCTGCTTCCTGGGAGAATTATCAGATCATGTAAAAACACTCAGTTCTCTTTTCTCTGTGGTTTGTAGATACACATTCTGTTGACAACTCTTAGGTGGGGTGACTGTCAAGAAGTGGTCTCAGCTGTACGAAAGCAGGAGGAAAAATGCTAGCCAGCTCCACTGTTCTGGCACACCGGTGGTATTCAGCATGAGCAAAGTGGCTTTGCTAAATGGAAATGAGTCCTTTTCAGAGCTAGATCTTAACTGAAAATCTGTGCAGCGTTCAGCAAGTCCCTCTTATTGCTGTCAGTCAGGCAGCAGAGATGCTCCTGCCTTTGATTGTAAGTGCTTACAAAGTGCACAGGGAATCTGAGAGCCACCGCATAGTGGCCTTTGCCAAGGTTGGAGACCTCTAATCTGGATGTGCTCAGTCTTCCAAACTGGAAAAGGAATGTGTACGTAGGGAAGGGGAGTTTGAACTGCAGCATGAGGAGAGACCTCCCAGAAACAGGAATAGGCACAACTATTTGAGTGGGAGCACGATGAAAATACTGGTTTCTTATCAGTTAACGTAGCTTAAGTCGTTCACGGGCACATAGTACTGCAGATGCACTGTGGACTTTACAAGAGACTAGAAAGATCTAATCGGTACTCCTAAGAAGGCTACAGTGCGGGGGAGAAAGTCTACATCACACGTGTTCTTGGGAGGCCTGTGGGCTCTGATGGACCGTCAGCAGCCAGCTGTGGAGCCTTGTTCTGTTCCTGGCAAGTGTGGTGACAGCTCACACAGAGAGGTACAGGACACAAAGTAGGGAGCAAGGCCCTGGGAGAGGCATTGCCACCCGGGTCTCAAATGACTGGCATGGTGGTCGGATGAGGGAGGCGCTCCAGGCAGCAGAACTGCATGCCCAGACCAGGGCCCGCAAGAGGTCGGTGATCGGACACAGCAGCCGGCAGTGTGTGAATGCAGCACCCGGGTTCCGAAAGGCAGCTGGGGGCTGGCTTGCACAGAGGTGGTTCTGTCCAGCTTGGACACTGAGCCGGTGGGACCCTAAGCAGAGCAGCCGCCTCTTAGAGCTTAATTCTAGTGACATAGGGAATAAGAGCTAAGAAATGATAATAGTTGTTAACCTTTATTCAGCACTTACCTTGTACCAAGTCCTGTGTTAAGGACTTAACATAAATAATCTCATTGAATCCCTACAACTCCCTTGAGGGGGCTACATCTGTGTCCCATTTTGGAGATAAAGCAACTTGAGGTTTTTAGAGTAGTTCACACAGCTGGTAAGACCGCAAGCCAGAATTCAAATCAAGTGTGATCCGAGTCTGTTCCTACCCTCTGCTCTCTGCCTCCTAGGGGCGAACTGAAAGAAGAGGCGGCTCTGGGTGGAGAGCACTGTGCTAAGTCAGGGGGAGAGGAGCACACATCTGGTGAGAGAAGGAGAGGAAGCGGCAGAAGGAGGAGCTAGGAGGAAGACGAATGTAACCGCTTGGTGATTAGGTTAATGGAGAAGGAGCCTCTCATGCCTCACAGTCCCAACTGGGACAGTCCACTGATAACACTGAGGTTCAGAAGGAACGTGCTGAGGAGCGGGGGTGACGAGGTGGCCAGGTGTCTTCAGGGAGTGCAGTACAGTAGGAGACACAGGATGCGGGAGAGAGGCCGGAGTCGGGGGTCACTGGTGTGTTGGCAGTAACCGGAGACGTGTGGTGGGTGAGAAGCCAGGGACAGTGGCCAGTGGGAGTGCAGGGGCCACAAAGCCATGTGAGGGAGTGGTCAGAGGAGGGAGCCAGAAGACCACGGATGGGATGAGTATCCAGGAGGACAGAGTCTCCAACTTCATTGAGTCCCAAAGAAAGGTCAGACTGAGCCTGAGAGGGCCCCTGGATTGGATTTGATGGTGCTTAGGGAGTGATACAAGTGACTGAGTAAAACTGTAGCGGAAGCTCCACCTGATCTTGCTCGGGTGACTTTATGTAGGTCTGCTTCCTACTGGCTTTTTGTTAATGCTGTTGTCCCCAAATTTACCCAGGGACCATCAATGATGTCACATTTGGAGCAGGAGTCAGCTACATAGGCACCCCACGGACACCTTCAACCAAAGGCAAGTTCCTTTTCTGTCAGATGCATTAGCCACTTTTGAGTTCTGGGAAATCTGAATTTGTGTCTGACTCTCTTTCAGAGAAAATTGAAGCCCAGTGTCAAGGAAATGACATTTTATGTTTATCGCTTCCTGATAAACCGTAAGTTTACCAAGAGTTCCTCTTGAGGTAAATGTTTTTGTCAGGGTTTTATCTTTAGTTCCAGAATGACTGTTTCCTTTCCCTAGGCCTCCACAGCCTCAGCAGTGGAATGTGAAGTCCCCAGCCAGAAATAAAGATAACCCAGCCCCCAGCAGGAGGTCACTCCGAAAGACCCCCCTGAAAACAGCCAACTGAAACAGTCATTCAGGAGTGTTCGGGAGGCAAGAACTCTAAGGACATGTTGTCTCCTGCCTGTGGAAAGACAAGAGTCCACCTCCCTTACCCCCAGGGAGGAGGAGGCTTTTAACTGTGTGATACCAGAGTTTTTTCTTATGACCCTAGCACTCTGCCTGTTCACCTGTGTGGTGAACAACCTTTTACATTTCTCTTTATGCAGTATGTGGTTAAAAAAAAAAAATTGTAAAATAATAGAGAAATGCCATAGCTATTTAATATTCTAACTTTACTCCATTTGAAAGTATCGAGTTCATTCTGATAAAGCATACTCTGGTCTTTAAGGAACACAACAGATCAGCTTTCTTTTATATAAATGAATCCTGTTACCTTGTCGGAATTCCCTACAGTACAGTAGTTTCCTGTATCTAATGATGAAACTTTGATTGTAATTATTTTTTTATTCTTATTTATAAATTACAGGTTTTAAAGTGTACAGCTTTCTAAAATGGAATAATAAAGGTTAAGCATAAATACAGCCTTCTGGTATTCCATAGAATATTTCTACCAGATAGAATATTTCTACTTTTAGAACAGGGCTTTTTAATTTACATTAAGTGTTTAAGAATAATAAAACCCTTCCAGACTCAAGAACTGTGAGAAATAAACGTCTGTTGTTAAAGAAAAAGAAAAATAAAACCCACTTTCCTTTTAGGAAAAAAAAAAAAAAGACTCCCTTTGTCTGTCTTTAAGGTTCAGCTCATCTGTTCCTCTGCCTCTGTCCCCGGACAGAAGCTGTCTGCCTCCTAACAGCACATGTCCTTCTGTCCTTCTTCATATGTAAACGCGGGCCTGCTCCTGAAAGTCCGCCTGTGTGCAGCATGCACTAACGCTGGTTTGTGTTAACAGTCCACAAAGACTGCTCCCATGGGGATGGGGGGGGCGTGCTTTGGTGTCTTTTGCTGATGCCGTTAGGTAACCTTAAACACGTGTGCATTCATGTTTTGTCCAAGAGTGACCAGGAAAAAAGTCAGTCAGTTCACTTTTTAATCCCAGCACTACAGAAGCAAAAGTACAGGGTTACTGTGTTGATATGTTTTTAGTATAAATGTGGTAGTTGGATTAAAGGGGTAGAATGTCACTGTGCTCTATTCTGCAGTGCTCCCATACACGAACGGTGACACACATGGACAGGTCATTGGCAGAGAGAGTCACAAAGCAGCTCTTGAGTAAAGACACTTATCTCCAAATCAAGCAGATGGTAATTGATGGCAGTCTCTCTTTAAACCTGGGATCGTGCCATTTTAAGTGTACTTGCCTAACAAAATGCTAGGAAAACGAGGTAAACTCAAGAGCACATAAAAGAAAAAACGAGGCAAAGCTGATTTTTTAAAAGCTTTTATAAATGAGGTTTAACAAATACCAACTTGCAGGTGTGTTAGTACAAGTCTGCAATGTCTATGTACAGCACAGCTACGCTAGAGGCCGCAATGGCCTTGTAGAGGCTTCGAGTCTTCAGTCGCATTCACATCTTAAAGACACATGAATGGTCCTTTTCCGTCTACATCTTTACAGTATCAGGCACCAACTTCCCAGCCTCCATACTCACTTCTCTCTGTCAGCCCCAGTTCACATGGCACGAGGCTAGGTGGTGGTACGGTCATGAGAAGGGAGTCGGGGCTGTCCTATCACTAGGACAACCAAGATGGCAGCTAGGGCGTTGCTCCCCAACAATTAGAGAACGGGGACACTACCCCTTTCTACCAAGCGGGGGTGAAGATGAAGGGATATCTTAAGTCTAAGCATTCAAAACACAAACGCAAAAGAAGATGGGTACCATTAAGCAATTATGAAGAGTTGCCCACTGCTTCTGCCAAACAGCCTGTGGCAGAGTATTCACAGAACTTAAAAAAGAAAAGTCAACATAAGTCTCAAGTATTCAATTAAAAAAAACGCTCAAAGTATAAAAAATTAAGACGCTGGAAGTTTAATCCCAAGATGACTACATCCTTCTACATAAAAACCATCCTTGAAGCACACAGTGGAACTGGAGGCCCTCCTCTGAGAAGCTCCCTCTTCAAACCGCTTCACATCATGAGTTTAACACAGCAATGTATCTGAGGCGAAGAACATCTGCTCTTGAAGAACAAAGGCTCTTGAATGATGTTTCTAATGTCCCACACCCAGTGAGCAGCAGTGTCTTGGGTAGATAAAGACTTTAAAATCAAAATCAGAAAACGGCCCTTGATTCAGGCATTTCGCTTTCCTTGCCATCAGGCTTTCCACCCCGGCTGCACTACCTGACGTTCTTCAAAGGGCTGGCCTCGCCGCCACCACATAATTTAGGTTTATTGTGAAGTGAGACACAACCTGCGGTGTCTCCGTGCTTTCTTCATGGAGAAGAGGAAAAGTGGAATTCATTTTCTTAAAAAACATGATTGTAGTTTTCAGAACTGCCTTTGGCCCTGGACAGTCTGATGAACTACACAAATAAGTAAAATGAATTTTAAAGCCAAACAATAGCTACTTTGTTTCATGAGCCATCCACAACGAGAAAGAGCTCTGTCGCCGGGGAGCTGAAGGCTGGGATACCACAGGGAAGACACCCACCCTTCTTGAAGTGTCCACCTTACTACTAGAAAGTAGTAAGTCCAACGCTATAAAGCTCATCAGCACACAAAGCCTCTGTCAGGCCAATAAAGATGGCAGTGCACATGCTGGCTAGCCTTCGAAGTTAGTAGCCAATATGGCCTTCGAGTGGGGCACAGGACTCAAGCCCGGGAGTTGCGAACGTGGTTTCACAGGGACATCCAAGCACTTCTGGGTGGTCTCTGGGCACAGGTAGTCGGAGTAATCTAGGAAGAGGCCATTCAAAGCTAACCCTTAGAGCTCCTTATGTTTCTTTTGGAGAGTTGCAAATAGATTTTGACATTATTCAACTGGATTTTTTTTTTTAAAGGTTTCCTAAGTAACAATGATGGGATGTATAGACAATGTAAATTCTCTTGTGAAAAATGCTAACTTAGGTGGAAAAAAAGGAATGTTCCAGTAAGCTTCCTTGAGAGGATTTTTGGGGTTAAAATACTCTTTAATTATTGGCATTTTCCAATTTAACACTAGTAGCTTGGAACTCCTACCTTAAATTGAAAATTTTTAAAAAAATAGGTATTTAACACTGTATGACAACATATTTACAATTTAAATAGAAATTTTCTTTTCAATAACCAAAATACATCTTTAGCAAAAATTTAGAATGTAAAATTTTATAAAATAAACACCCATAGAAAAGCAGAACATTATTTCAGTACCATTTCAGATTTCGCCTAAGATGAAGGTTTTATGTAAATACTGACCCCCCCCACCCCCCATGGGCAAGCAGGGTTCCTATAGGTAAGAAGACGCCTTCTTCCAACAAGCAATTTACCTTCCTGATTTGGGCTGTTTTCATAAAATTCTGATCCAAACAGATTTTCCAAGATGGACACTAAAATACTGATGAACAGAACCTTCAAGGAGAATCTGCAGTGCTGGCTGCGGGCAGCTGTGAAACAAGATCATCGCATAAAACACCTCTTTTCTGGGTTTCCTGGTTCAAACTCTGCAACTGCAGGGTGTCGCAGTGCGTCGTGCTCCCAAGCCCTGCGTTACCAGTGCTGCATGGCTGCCTGGTGGCCCCACACACAGGACTCACGCTGGCTGACGTAGATGAGTGGTGAATAAACTGGCTTCACTGGCCCACAGTGCCCAGCCCAGCCTCTGTGGCCAAGAGCTTCCCGATCACCCTAACACTCAGGCAGGAGCCAGGCCAGAAACAGACTGGGAATCAGCCTCAGTGAAATGCAGTTTTGTTTTTTTTTCCTCCTTGTGATGACTATGCCCATCTCGAGGATAATTCTTTTATTCATGTGGCTGGTTAAAAAGTAAGAAAGGAGTAGCGGTCAACTTTGGCCAAAACAAAAAGCTTTTGCGTAAGTGTCTAGCTCTGTCCAAGTGCACTTGGCTCCCGGTTTGCTCTTGATAGGAGTTTCTGGTAGAGGTATTTGCATGTGCTCCCTCAGCCACACCATCAGATTTCAGATCACAAATGATGACTTGTGTCTGAAGTCGCCCTGCAAGGCCAACACAGGGTTAGACACGGCCATCCTCTACCAACCCAGGGGCCCGAGTGGGAGAGGAAGAGTGGAAGCCAGGTCTAGGCCCCGTTTCCCCGAGGAAGAAACTTAAGGCAAAACAAATCAAATGAAACCATTCTTCAAAAGTAACATCTACTGTTAGAGCCTGCAAACTGTGCACGCCAGGAGTGTGTACAAACATTGCACTGGGAGGGTTTCCAAGGAGGAATGTCATTTTTTCTGCTGGAAACACCTCAATTTCTAGGTTTCCTCAAGGATGTCTGCTCTGTTGCCTCACTCCTTTCCTTACCTCCTCATCTGTCCTGATATAGTTCACTCCATCTGTCTTCCCCGGACTCTTGTAACTGAAAAAGGAGAGAGGGCTTCAGTGACTACTGATTTTTCACGTAATGCCAACTTAAACTTTGGTTTTGTCACTTAAGACAGAAGACAGGCTCACCTTTCACCATTCTGTTTATTATTGATGAAGTAACCCCGTCTGTACGCGCAGCAGATGCCCACGGTGATCAGGGCCAGAACAGCAAGGACCACCAGGATCCCCCCAATAATGCCACCGATGTTCAGGTCATCTGGAGAAAAGAGGGATTGAGGGAAGAGAGGATACACACTATCTGGTCTTATAAAAGCCCCTGAGCCCATTGTGCCTCCTTCCTAATCCTGCATCCTTCCACTGCCCCGCTCCGCCCACATGCCTACCCCAGCCAGAAGAGCAGAGTGAGACCACTTCAACTCTTTCTAGCCTGGAACATTCAGGACCCCAGACCCCTGGTCTCACTTGTAAAAAGTAATGAGACCTCCAAAGTTCAAATGCTGTCATACTTAATCCTGTATTAAAAGGGGCTTAGCATTGTATAAAAGGCTTTTACAGTCTTCTGGCTAAATCCCTGAAAATATTATTAATGGAGAAAATGGTTTCACTTTATAAAGACAGAATTAAGGAACCAGGAATCCCAAAGAAAAAATTCCTAATTTCCAGGGATTCCCTTTGCTGTGCGTTATTTGGGGAAAGAGACTAGTTTCGCACAGGACTGAAAAAAATATGAGGTGGGAACATGACCTTTCACTATCAGCTGCCTGGCCTCGTATCTACAAGCCTCTTGGAGGAAAGCCCTTGACCCCCTCTTCCCATTTCTGTATACTGGGCAAAGGTACTCAGTCCCCATCAGTATGGGGCACTGGGGCTGTTTCCTTCATGCAGATAAAAATGCAATGGAAAACATGCAGGCAATATATCAACATAAGCCAACTAACTTGGAAGTTGTTAAATTCTCCCTTATCCTAGTGCAGTGGTTTCCAAATGTGAGTGTGCATTTAAAAATTGAAATTTTGACTTTAAAATGTCAATTCCCAAGCTCTATCACTAGAGAGAGATTCAGTAGGTCTGGGGCAAAGCCCAAGAGTCTTCCTCCTGCCCGGGAGCAGTTTCCTGAATTTGACAGATGACAAGAATCCCCTGGAATGGTGTTTGACACACAGACATTTCCAGACCTCCCCTGGGGACTGAGTCCATACGCCTGGGGTGGGGCCTTGGAATCTGTACGTGAAACAGTGCACTCAAATGATTCTCACAATCAGGCAGGCTTGGAAAACACTGCTCTGGGGTCAGTTATACACAGGAAGGAGGGAGGGGCTGAGATCACTCCCCAGGTGATTGTGATGGTGACATGCCCCATCTGCCCCAGCCTGCCTTCAACACCTCTCCTTTAGAACCAGTATCTGAGAGACGGTATCATCACAGAACAGGGTAAAGTTACTGAGGCTAAAACTCTGGCTGTCAGCTTACCACAAAATGGTTGTAACTGGATAAATTTCTGGGGACCTTACACGACATTATGTTTTGATAATTTTATCAATTATCAAAGAAGTGGAGTGAGTTAGTTTATCTATCTATCTATCTATCTATCATCTATCTATCTAAAGTAGGCTCCACGCCCAGCATGGAGCCCAATATAAGGCTCGATCTCATGACCCTGAGATCAACACCTGAGCTAAGATCAAGAGTCAGATGCTTACATCCCAGAAATGGAGTTTATTAAACTCAGTTAAGGGGCACCTGGGTGACTCAGCTGGTTAAGCCTCTGCCTTCAGCTCAGGTCATGATCCCAGGGTCCTGGGATGGAGCCCCAAGTTGGGCTCCCTGCTCGGCGGGGAATCTGCTTCTCCCTCTCCCTCTGCCTCTCCTGTTCCCCCCACTTGTGCTCTCTGGCTCTCTCTCTGTCAAATAAATAAATAAAATCTTTAAAAATGTTCTTAAAAATAAATACTCAGTTAAAAGCGACATGATTAATTATGTTCCCAACACCAGAAGACTCCAGAAAGTCTATTTTGAGGAGATAAACATACTGCAAGTAATCACTTATTAGTCATTTAGCTGTTACTCAGAACTTTCTCATCTTTCCTTTCAATGTACCCGAGTGAGTTTTGGTGAATCCAGTCATCTCCAGAAGAAAGCTGACCAGTTGTCTAAACTGATGGTGGTCTAATATTAAAAGTGTTCTATCCACTTGCCAGTCTTCAGATGAAATATTTTCAAAAAGTAACTCACAGACTTCCATCTCCTGCTCCTCACATCTGGCTGAGCCTGCATCATTGGAAGCGATGCAGTAATACTGCCCAGAGTCTTCCTTGTGAACAGCATTGAAAACCTGTTGCAGGAAATTACAAGTAAATCATGAGACCAATCAACAGAGCCGACCTCTGGGGACTGAAGAGAAGAGATCGCCATGCTCCTCTCCCCCACGAAGGCGCTAAGTCCAGAGCCTAGTAAAATGTCTGCTCATTTGCTCCTGGTTTCCTTTCGGTTTCTGCTCACTGTCCAGGTTCTTCCCTGCTATTCTTCCCCTGCAGTCTTGCCCAAGAGCTCCTGAACAATGAGATCCCCTCGTGTTGTGTGGGCTTTACTTTTATTCAGGGAAAGGGACTCTCTGATAAGCACTGTCTCTCAGCAACACTTGGGCAACACAAATATAGAGGATCCTATATAACCTGCTTGTTACTACGTGTAGTTAGATAGCCACGGATCAGGAGGCCTGGCTGCAGTAAAGCTCGGCTGAGATGCTGCTGCGGAGGGCAGTCTGTCCTGTACACAAGACCAATCTTATTTCATCTCTCCCCCCACCCACCTCCCACCACCACCACTGGGTTTTTTTGAAGAAAATTCTAGACACATGTTATCCATAAATACTTAAGCGTGCAACTCTAAAAAAAAGGACTTCTTCAGATATAACTACAATACCTTATTGCACCTAAAGCAATGAACAATTCCTTAATATCGAATATCCCGCCAGTAATCCAATTTCCGTGTCTCATGATTTTTACAGTTGGTTATTCACATCAGGACCCTAACATTACCCACCCACTACATTTAATAGACCTCCACAATCATCTTTATTTTACAGGTTTCCCTTCCTTTATTTTATCCCCTTAGAACTTATTTGCTTATAAGAAGGAGGGGAGGTTCATTTTTCCCACAGAATCTCCAACATTATAGGTTTTTAGTTCCTGTCTTATAGAGTTCACTGTCTCTCCTAATAAGTGCTCTTTCCACAACAGGTAACCCCTTCCTCAACAAAGATATTTCTACCCTCACCTCTGAGAAGAGATCTTACCAGAGTGCCTGTTTCAGAGTTTAAGAGAAAAGAGGAGTTTCGGAATCTGGGATTGGCCCTGGAGTCGGTGGGCAGTGGCACGTCATTGCGGTACCAGCTGTAGTGCGGCCGGGGGTAGCCCTCGCTCTCCTGGCAGTGCAGCGTGGCCGTCTTGCCGACCGGTACAGCCTTTGGCACTCTGCACACAGGAGGTACCGGCTTCACTGTGGGAGAAATGTGGGTTGGGGTTTCAAATCAGCAGCGTGAACTGATTCTTCTCAAAGCCCACAATAAACCTGCTCCCAAAACAGGACAACCAGCCAGGGGCTGCAGCACTGCCACCCCCAGGTCGCGCCCGCAGGCTCGGATCTGCTGCTGCATCTGCCCTGCAGCTCGCCCCCCAACTCCCCGCGTATAACCCCTCAGTGCATTTCTAATGCCTCCAGCTTCCGAGGAGCACCTCCTGCAGCTGGTGGAGGGAGAGCTCCACTTCCCTTCTCCCCTTCCACCCCAACTCAGGCAGCCCAAGCTCCTACAACTGCCTACTCCCTAAGTCCTGCAATACCCCTAGGGATACAGTCTAGAAGGAAAGAAAGAGCTGATCTTTTTTTTTTTTTTATTTTTCCCCCTTCCAGACCTTTTTTATTTTCTAGACAGACTCATGAGGCCTATAAGGGGGAACATGTTTTAACTTCATGTGAGTTCCTACCTTGCACAGTTAACTCAATGACAATCTCATCAATTTCTTTGCGGTCATTTCGAGCAACCACCTCACAGCGATAAAGGGCTGAGTCTGTCCGGGTCACATTCCAGATCCTTAGAGAGGTTTTCCCCAGTAGTTCTGCACGACCTGCCAAATCTCCTGTAGAAAAGAGGATGCAGAACATAAAATGACTGTTTAAAGACGTCTCTGCCACCTGAAGGTGGTGGCTTCTGAGGCTAGCATTTAATGCCTCCATAAGGAGACTGTACACAGGCTTCTGTTTCTGCTCCTGGAAAAGAGAGGTGAACTGGGGACACTAGCACCAAAATAGTACCTGGTGTGTAAGAGGTACATGTGTCATTACCTGTGTCTCTGTTGTTAAAGCAGAGACCTCATTTCCTTCTCATCATTCCTAGCCAGGATTCCCATTAAAAGAGAAAAAAATCAAACAAACAACATTAGAAAACAACCAGTATTCATAAATGGTGCTGGGACAACTGGATATCCACATGCAAAAGAATGAGGTTGGACTCCTACCTCATACTATATACAACAAAGACCTTCCTATACGAGTTAATAGTATGGGGGATCCTGGGTGGCTCAGTTGGTTAAGCGTCTGCCTTCGTCATGCCTCAGGTCATGATCCCAGGGTCCTGGGATCGAGCCCCGCTGCTCAGTGGGGAGTCTGCTTGTCCCTCCCCACCACTTGTACCTGCTCTCTCATTCTCTCTTGCGTGCATGCGTTTGCTCTCTGAAATAAATAAATGGAATCTTTAAAAAAAACCCAAAGAGTTAACAGTATGACTCTTAGAAAAAACAGATATAAATCATCATGACCTTGGATTAGGCAACAATTTCTTAGAAATGGCACAAAGACCGCAACCATAAAAAATAAAGTTACACTGGCCCTCACTGGAATTTCATAAAAAATTTTACACCATGGATGAACCTTGAAAATAATATGCTGAGTGGAAGAAGTCAGTCACAAAGAACCACATATTGTATGATTCCATTTATATGAAGTGTCCAGGATAGGCAAATCCATAGAGACAAAATAGATTAGTGGTTGCCAGGAGGTGGGGACAGAGCGGAAGGGAAGTCAATGCTAAAGGATATGCAGTTTCTTTTGGGGTTGATGAAAGTGTTCTGGAATTTGATAGCAGTGATGGTTGCACATCTTTGCTGAATATACTAACAACCACTGAAGTATACACTTTAAAAAATGTGAGTTTTATGCTATATGAATATCTCAATATTTAAAATTTTTTAAGCATAAAAAGATGGTATGCTTTCAAAGAAGCATGAAGAACCTAGAGAATGACAAATAAAGGGGGACGCCTGGGTGGCTCAGTTGGTTAGGCATCTGCCTTCAGCTCAGGTCATGATCCCAGGGTCCTGGGATGGAGCCCTGCATTGGGTTCTCTGCTCAGTGGGGAGCCTGCTTCTCCCTCTTTCTCTGCCTGCCACTCCCCCTGCTTGTGCTCTGTCAAATAAATAAATAAAATCTTAAAAAAAAAAAGAATGACAAAGGAAGGAGTTAGAAAAAAAATGACACAAAAATAGAAAATAATTATTACTAAACCTGCTGACTGGTGGGAAGAACAGGAAGGATTTACCATAATATAATAAAAACAGAAAAATGCTTAGGATGAAAGATGAACATTTGCAAAAACATTTTCTTTCTTTTTTTTTAAGATGTTATTTGTTTATTTGAGGGAGAGATAGTGAGACCATGAATGGGTAGAAGAGGGAGAAGCAGGCTCCCTGTGAGAGCAGGGAGCCTGACATGGGGCTCCATCCCAGGACCCTGGGATCATGACCTGAGCTGAAGGCAGATGCTTAACTGACAGAGGCCCCAGGTGCCCCCAAAAAGATGATTTTTAAGAGCCTATGACTCCTGATGATATTGGGGACCCAAAGCAGGAAGACTGAGATTTGGCTGTTTCCACAACATCTCTCCTCTTCTCTGAAGCCTCAACTATCAACTTCTCTGAGAACTCCAAAGCCAGCCCTTAGAAGCTGTTGCATTTGTCCCTCATGTTTACCCTGTCCCTCCCGTCAGAGTGAAGGTAAGATCCCACTGCATGTCATCTATAATTTCAATCTCTCCCTCCCTTGCCACAGCCAGCTCCTAGCAATCCCTCCCCATGTCTCTCTACACTGCCTCAACCTTAGCTCTGGCCATCAGCAGCTCCCTTCTAGCATCTGCAAAAAAGTTCTAAATTAGCACCACTGTTCTGAGTTTCCCCATCCCCAATCTCCTCTACAAATCAAGTCAAGTCTTTCTAAAGTGTAAATGAAATCATGTTCCTTCCCTCTAAAAAATCTTTGCAGACCTCAAGATACTGTCCATTCTTGCATGGCATTCAGTGCTTCTTGCTGGCCCTGGCATGCCTCGACAGCCATGTGGAGTCATTCCTCTCTCCCCTCCTTAAGTCCCAGCTGTGATAGAGAACTTGAAGTTTCCTTAAGCAAACCTGCCTTTGCTGCCACATCTATATATGCAGAGCATTCTTCCTTGTCCAGCACCTTCCTCCACCCCACCCCTCACCATCTGGCCTGGTTGACCGGCTTCATAGCTCAGCTTAGATGTCACTTCTGGGAAGCCTCCCCCATCACCTGCCCTGCTCCTGCTTCATGTGATCAGAGATACCCTATGCTGACGTCTGTTCTAGCAAATGCTTTCTCAATGTGGGAAGCTTGGCACACAGTAGTTGCTCAGTAAATACCTGTCTTGTCTCCTTGCTGTTCCATGTGATCCTTCTGATTAACTCATGCAGTTGGTATCATGAATGGGACCATGATAAGAGGATGGCCTAGGAAAATGTTCACTCTGATAACTCAACAGGATGGGCTACAGATAGATTTAAATCATAACTAATGAGGTGATACTTGTTGAAGCTGAATGACAGGGACAGGGAGGTTTAATATATTATTCTCATTACCTTTCCATATTTGAATTTTCCGTAAGTGAAACAAACAAAACAGAAAAAACCAATCCTGGATGCAGATGCAGGACCAGTCAGAGAAAAGTCTCTGGGCGCAAGTATATGCCTGGCCCTTGTGGACAAAGTAGGGGATTAGAGGATCATACCCTGAATTCTGTTGTCAAAAAACACATATGTGGTTTGGTCATCTTGAATTTTCTTCCATTCAATCCTGGGGTCACTTGTCTGTGAATCCGTAATGATACAAGATAGTTCCACACCTAATGAGCAAAAAACAACAAAAAAGCCCTCTCAGAGAATGGGGAACAATTTTATGATCACTTGTATACCTGGACACATGCAAGAAGTCTTGCATGCAGGTTAAAAAATCTATCTATCTCCAGGCTCCAAATGACTTTAAGAAAAGCTGAATTTTAGCCAAAAAAATAATAAAGATGATTACCAAGAACTTTTACTAAATAGAGTACACACTCCCCCTTAATACTGTGCTTCTATGTAAGAAAATTCTTTGTTACATACATACAAAGCCAGGGCAGGAATCTGATTCTAGCCAATATAAAACCTGCAGAGTTCCCTGTTGGCCTGCTGAAGGAGTACTTCGCTGACACACGTGCACATCAAATGCACTGCTAAGGAGCCACCCACCCGGACGTCTCTAGGGCACTGTGCACCTGTGTTTGTCCTGAGTTGGCTGCAAGACTACCAAACATCCATTAGATGGCGCCCATTCTCTTAGTAGTCTCCCTTGTACTTACTTTCAAATTCCTGTACTACTGGGGTTCGGTTGCTGGATTTGAGATTCACGGCCCCAATCAAGCAACCTGAAGGGAAAAAAATAAAGTAAAATCAGAGACAATGCAACTCTAAAATGGCAGAGAATCTTCCAACAAAGTTCAGATTTTTCCCTTCTATGTAGGCTACAATAACCTCAGAGGATAGAAAAATACTATATTCCAAAACAAAGTCTCTTAGATACAGCAAGCTGATCGCTTTCTTTCTTAGTCTGACCTCACTGGAATGAACTGAGTGGAAGAGTTCTGAGAATTTAGTTCCAGAACATAACTGCCCTGGAGCTAAAGCTCTAAGAATTTCCTTCTTGCTCAGAGCCATTCTTAATCCTGTCAACATCTTTCATCCAGACCCACCTGGGCCTTGTCATTCCTGCCTCCTGCAACTCTCGTCTCCTCTAGGCTTCCAACCCAGCAAGGGCACTCTTGGTGGATTTGATATGGCCCAGACTCATGGCCTGGTACCTTCCCCTTCAGGATGGCACAACATTCTCTGGTATAGATATCAACCAGCTAAGAGACCACCTTGCTATATTAACCATGTAACCCAGTGATTCTCATTCATTAAAAAGTTTTCACTAGGACATACCCTCCCCAATGTATGTGCTATGGTGAGCGCTGTGAACTGTGTAAGACTGTTGAATCACAGACCTGTACCTCTGAAACAAATAATACATTATATGATTAAAAAAAAAAAAGAAGATAGTAGGAAGGGAAAAATGAAGGGGGGAAATCGGAGGGGGAGACGAACCATGAGAGACCATGGACTCTGAGAAACAACTGAGGGCTCTAGAGGGGAGGGAGGTGAGGGGATGGGTTAGCCTGGTGATGGGTATTAAAGAGGGCACGTTCTGCGTGGAGCACTGGGTGTTATATGCAAACAATGAATCATGGAACACTACATCAAAACTAATGATGTAATGTATGGTGATTAACATAATAAAATTAAAGAAAAAAAGTTTTCACTTGGGGCGCCTGGGTGGCTCAGTCTGTTAAGCATCCAACTCTTGATTTCGGCTCAGGTCATGATCTCAGGGTCCTGGGATCAAGCCCCATGTGGGGCTACCCATTCAGCAGGAATCTGCTTGTCTCCCTCCCTCTGCTCCTCCCTGCGCTGGCTCATGCGCATGCTCTCTAAAATAAATTAAAATCTTAAAAAAAAAGTTTTCACTAGTTTTTGGTAAAATGAGAAAATAATAACAATTTTCATGAAGCTACTGAAGATATCAAGATATGCCAACTGCCTGGTAATCCCTTTCAAAACTAGCATCTGACTGTCCATGTGCTTGAACAAACATTAAAACCAGTTTATCATGGTCTCAAACGTCTTACCTATTTTCTTGGAGATCAAGTAGATACACTGACCACCCATAAAATCTCATTCTTCAGCTACCTGGCCTCTAGGAAAATATGCATTCCCCAAAGAGGGCCTTCATACAAAACCCTCATTAAGGTCTCTGGATCTTAGCTTACTATCCCAGCTAAAGACAATGTGCAGAAAGACATGTACTCTAAGTGGCTTTCTAACTCCTTGTACATTAGGTGGGATGCAGATCCAGTCTTTCCCCTTTATAAATCTTATTTAATGGTTCAGTTACATGTGTACATTCCAAGTATACATTTTGATCCTTTCTTTCTTAGACTTCATTAATTATAGCAAAAGCCATAAAAAATTTACTAAGAGGGATGAAAATCAGAAGTATAATACATATACCTGAGTTGTTATTAATTTCTAGAACACTGACTTCTACAAAAGGTTATAGAACCAGGCAAGTAAAGATAATTTTATTTTGTTTTGATTAACCATGGGCTACTCCTTTTGGGAACCAGAAACACATCCCATGTATGTGCAGCATTTTCTACTTCTCCTTCAGTCTGAAAGCTCCCAGT